TATTCTTTACATCTGCAAGTAAACTGAGTATGAGGGCAGAAAAAATGGTTATGAAACTGACTTAGAGTAATTGAATTCAGAATTGGGGTGGAGGGGGGATAAAATAGTTTGTTAGAAAAATAAGGGGTCATGAAAAATTTTTGCTATTCATAAAAATTTCGTCCAGCCCCCTACCCGGCATTAATAATGACTTGTCCCTTAGCAAAGAATGTAACTCATGCACACTGTTACATATAACACTTTAACACTTCAAATCGCACCAATGACCTGAGCAAACCTTTGTGTAACTATTGTTGGTATTAGCATCCGGTCTCAATACTAATTTCTAGCCTGCGAATACAGACGCCTCACATCGGGCGAAATGTAATTTCTGGCTTTTCCCCTTTATCTCATACATATCAGCACTAAAGTGATCTGAACACAAACGACTACTTTTCGCAGGAACAGACTTCACTGTCGCATGTTTATTCATATACTCAACCCATATGCTGTACAACTCTGGATGCTTCTTTGCATCAGGAATGCTTAAATATGTGAAGGGAAAAAATTCAATAACAATATGCTTTCATAAATACAAACAGACCTATAAAATACACTGTACAGTAGGTAGGAAAAACGCACACGAGAACATCACAAGGAACAATGGAAATATAATATTTGAATGAAACAAACTGTATGCAAAAACCTCAGAAAAGAAGCCACAGTCGAGAAAAGCTGGTGACACATGCACGTGAACAAAACATAACTACCGTTTGCTTTACATTGTCATTTGCAGAAAAAACTTCTCGAATGATATCTAAGCACAAAATAATATTTCCTTACCAGTGTGAATACAGTCCGTCTTTGTCAAAGGAGTTGTGACAACCATAAACCGAGCAATATTAACGCGGCATGTTGACAAAATATAAAGTTGTGAAACTTGATAGTTTAATAATTACACAGTGTATACTTTTTGCATCCAGGGGGGTGCGAAAACAGGTGGCTTTCAAAAATATTATGTGGTCAGTGGTAAATCGCCCGAAAATAGTGGACGCGGAGCTCGAAATCCGCCATGTTTTTGCGGACACTTTTTTGTTTGACGAGATATGGGAGCACGGTCTCCAGATATATATAGTAGAGCTCAGTGGTTGTTCCCTTTTAAATTTATACCCCCTAGCTATATACTGTCAGTGAGCTCTCTATATATATCTGGAGTAGGAACTTCTAATGTTTTGGCAATAGGCCAAGTGAAGCCAAAAAAAATCCAAGATGGCGGCCATTGACGTCCAATAGCTCTGAAGGTCGTAAACAGATTTTATACCATTTTCTCCAGCTAATTCCAGTTCTTTCTAATGGATCGTATCACTAATCAAATTTTCAGTTCATAAAATCACAATATTATTCTTTAAATCGAAGTCAAAATACGAAATTTCAACACACTCCTTGCCAAGATGGCGGAAATTGAAGGAGCTATTGGACGTCAGTTCCAGTCCCTTTCTATTGTTTTTGTCTGCGCGGTTAACACGAAACTGGCTTCACTTTGAGCAACCAAGTTCCTACTCCAGATATATATGGAGCTCACTGTATACTGTAGGTACCCCAGTGCATAGCCATTGTCTGATGGCAAGTGAATTTTATTCAGGGCAACTCATTTTCATGACCAGTTAACTGGTCAAAAAAGTAAAGTTACACCAATGATATTTTAAAATATGGCTGTATAACAACCTTGTTACATATTTAACCAAGATATTTAACTAAAACATTCCGAGTATTTTCTCGTGAGCTCACAAATCAATGAAATCGTTTCCAGAAATCGACACACGCTAACAGTAGAAGTTCCGCTATTCGAAAAGCAGAAAATATACGGACAAGCTGATTTTTTTTATAGTGGTGCTGGACCTCTCTAAGGCCAATGGAAGTGAGGTATCAGTTTACCGTCACCTAAAATTTGAAAAGTTGATGCGAATTTTTTTCATTATTCATTATTTTTCACGATTTGAATTTGTCAAATTTTGAGCTAAAAATCTGAATGTTGAACGAAAAAATCCAGCTTTTTGCTAGCTTCCAAGCTTGGCTTCGCTAACTGTATAAACAAAGTCCGTATTTGCCAATAATTTCAACAGAAAGCCATTTTTGAAACGCTTCCTATACAAATTTGACAAATAATGAAAAAATTACGAAATAATGAAAAATTTCACGCGGGTGCCTAAAACAGACGCGCGCGGGTGACGGTAAACTGATACCTCACTTTCATATATATTGGCCTAAGGGATGCTAGACACCACTTGGTTCAAAGGTGAGCTGTGTTCCTCGAAGTAGATCTGCTCCCGGCTGCCGCTGAACAGAGTAAAATAATATATAGGGTGTATAAAAAAAAAGGTAATCGAACTTCAGCGCGCTATTGTATCTGATTGTATTGTATTACTCTGCGTATGAACGAGATTTTTTCACATTCGGAAAGATCATGCTTTTAGCTGTTGAATGATATCTTCTTCATGCCAAATGGATAAAAAATGAGCAAATACGAATCCGATAAAAAATGTTAGTCAGAATCGCATATTTTCACCGTTGAGAGTTGGGTCTAAAACCATTGAAAATGAACCCCCTTTGGTACTTAAGTTGATGAATTTCACTTCATTAAACTATACGCACATATTCATAATTATTACTAAGTAGGAATAAATCTTAGCTAAGCTACGACACGTTCGTGATTAATTGCTTTTTCTTTTGTTATGCATTGTTTTAATTAAGTACGGAGGTGAAAATATGCGATTTTGACTAACATTTTTTATCGGCCTCGTACATGCTTATTTTTTCTCCACTTGGCATGAAAAGCATGTCATTCAATAGCTAAAAGCCTGATCTTTCCAAATATGAAAACCAATTGTTCATACGCCGAGCGATTCACGTATAATAGCGCGATAAAGTTCGAAGTTCCCTTTTTTATACATCCTGTAGTAGACATAAGTATGCATGGGTTAAAATTCACATGGATAGATTCTTTTCTTGCAGATTCTGAATCTGACGATGAAATACTGTACAATCCTACTATTAATGATGAAAATATCGACAGTTCCGAATTAAACAAATCTAAACCTAATGCTAGCAGCAGAAGTACAGAACAGAATAAAAGCAGAAATGAACCTGGATCCGAAAGATCACAAAATAAATCCGAGATCTCACCAGACTCCGCTGTCGGCTGTAGCACTGATTCTGAAATACCAGATGCCGATGAAGTTGAACTCATTTCAACACAAGAAAAACTGGTTTGCTCACCAGACAAAAAGGTTCCCTCGCCTGAAAAACTGGTTTCATCACCAGAAAAACCGGTTTCATCACCAGAAAAACCGGTTTCATCACCAGAAAAACCGGTTTCATCACCAGAAAAACCGGTTTCATCACCAGAACAACTGGTTACATTGCCAGACAAACCTGTTTCCTCATCCAACAAACAGGTTTTATCAACAGTGAAAAGGGATCGGGCTATACCAAAAGCAAATATCAGTGGTTTCTCAATCACTGCATCTTCTTCGGAGGAGGAGGATATGAATTCAGAGAGTACTAAAAAAAAGTAAGTAATACCTCATCTCTTATAGGTCCACAGGAAGAAACTTAAACTAAACTAACTTTATTTATACTGGATAGCTCTATCAGTTTTAAACTGTTCTTCCTAGAGGTCCAGTAAGGATCTTCTCTGACTTATTGATCCAGTGTTACTACAGGAGGAAACCTAAACTAAACTAACTTTATTTATACTGGATCATAGCTCTATCAGTTCTAAACTGTTCTTCCTGGAGGTCCAGTAAGTGTCATCTCTTATTGATCCAGTGTTACTACAGGAGGAAACCTAAACTAAACTAACTTTATTTATACTGGATCATAGCTCTATCAGTTCTAAACTGTTCTTCCTAGAGGTCCAGTAAGTGTCATCTCTTATTGATCCAGTGTTACTACAGGAAGAAACCTAAACTAAACTAACTTTATTTATACTGGATAGATCTATCAGTTCTAAACTGTTCTTCCTAGAGATTCGGTAAGGATCATTTCTTATTGATCCAGTGTTACTATATAGGAGAAAATCTAAACTAAACTAACTTTATTTATACTGGATACTAGCTCTATCGGTTCTAAATTGTTATCCCTAGATCGAGGTCCAGTAAGGATCATCTCTTATTGATCCAGTGTTACTACAGGAGGAAACCTAAACTAAACTAACTTTATTTATACTGGATAGTTCTAAACTGTTCTTCCTAGAGGTCCAGTAAAGATCATCTCTTGTTCCAGTGTTACTACAGGAGGAAACCTAAACTAAACTAACTTTATTTATACTGGATAGTTCTAAACTGTTCTTCCTAGAGGTCCAGTAAAGATCATCTCTTGTTCCAGTGTTACTACAGGAGGAAACCTAAACTAAACTAACTTTATTTATACTGGATAGTTCTAAACTGTTCTTCCTAGAGGTCCAGTAAAGATCATCTCTTGTTCCAGTGTTACTACAGGAGGAAACCTAAACTAAACTAACTTTATTTATACTGGATAGTTCTAAACTGTTCTTCCTAGAGGTCCAGTAAAGATCATCTCTTGTTCCAGTGTTACTACAGGAGGAAACCTAAACTAAACTAACTTTATTTATACTGGATAGTTCTAAACTGTTCTTCCTAGAGGTCCAGTAAAGATCATCTCTTGTTCCAGTGTTACTACAGGAGGAAACCTAAACTAAACTAACTTTATTTATACTGGATAGTTCTAAACTGTTCTTCCTAGAGGTCCAGTAAAGATCATCTCTTGTTCCAGTGTTACTACAGGAGGAAACCTAAACTA